CTACAAAATTAAGTATTTAACAGTTAATAACTAACTCCTTTAATGAATTCCTTGATCATAAAAAAAGTATCCTAAAACATATTTAACTTTGTCTAAAGAATATACTCATAAACTATTATATCTGAGTGGGGTGGGTTAAAGGCTATAAGACAACATTGTGGATAATAAAAAATATCATAGGATCAACAAAATCCACACAAACTGATTATAATAAGTTAGACACTCCCATGTCAAACTGCTAACCGTCTAGTTTTGTTATTAATGTGGTATCATATTCAATTTTCAAGGGCAAGGTACTGTATCAGCGTATCAGATATTGAATTTCAATAGTTGTTTTCAAGATGTTAAATTTGAATAGCTATTTTTTCTTTTATTTTATTTCCTGCAAATATAAGTTTTGATGTGTTTTAATTTTATTGACAAACATGACATTTACACGTCGACATGAATTCAAAACTTATCACTAGTATAATATTGTACTAACCAACCTGATTTTAAAAAAAAATCACAAATCTCGAATTAAAAAAGAGGTTCTCTTTGTTTGGCCGTTCTCTTATTGAGAACCCCTCAATCCGAAGTAAGCTCGGTGAAATTTATCTAATACGTAAATGTCTTGTGAAGCAATACTATTAACTACAAACGAGAGAATTTAATAGTATCATGCCTTAAAAGCCTCATATCAAGCGTGAAAGAGAGAAAAATGTCTACTTGCATTGTACATATAGTAACCCCTATTTTCTAATGATGTTCATATTTAGATCTATTTTCAAGTTCAATATTGCTTGCAGACGCTGAGATTAATATATATATATATATATATATATCCCCTAATTTTGCTTTTGCATTATTACCCCACCAAGAAGTCTTCACTGACTTCTCTGCCCTTCCATAATTGAAATTTTCTTTAAAGAAAACCACCTGATCGTAGCAGTAAGCATCTCACATCGGAAAAATCAGGCTTGTTATTTCCTATTGGAACTATAAAAAAGGGTTTGGGCTTTGAAGTCAGATACACCACAAGTGGCACCACAAGAAAAACTTAAGTGTTTGTTTTGGGTTTAAGTCCACACTCAATTAAATAGTTTGGGCTTATAGTTTGGGTTTTTCTTGTTTAGTACTTTTGGGTGTTTTATGGCCTAGGAACATCTTCCTGCTCCTCCTTCGTCCGTGGATGTAGGTCAAGTCAATTGATCGAACCACGTAAATCTGGTATTCTTGTCGATTTTATTCTTTTCGCTTTATTGTCTTTGTTGGGTTGCTAAAAGTATCCTTTGATAAATTTCCTGAGGCTAACTCTAACAAACGGGTATAAGAGCTTGGTTTCAAGATCTTTTGGCAACGATGACAATAACAAAGATTGTTGTCGAGAAATTCGACAGAAATGTCAACTTCGGCATGTGGCAACCCAAGATGGAGGTCATTCTGATTCAAGACGGAGTTGATTTGGCACTACAGGAAGCTGAGAACATTCCAGATGATATATCAAAGGAAGCAATGGATATGAAGGCCCGATCAAGCATCATTCTAAATCTCTCTGACGAGGTTTTACGGGAGGTAGCTACGGAGACTACGGCTAAGAGCATGTGGGACAAGCTTAAATCCTTGTACATGAAGAGGACAGTGGAGAATCGTCTCTACTTGAAGCAGAGTTTGTATATGCTTCGGATGACTGAAGGTACATCTATACTCTCACATCTTGATAAATTTGATTCCTTGATTATGGATTTGGAGAATATAGATGCAAAAATTGATGACGAGGATAAGGCCCTATTACTCTTGTGTTCTCTTTTCCAATCTTTTAAGCATTTCCGTGATACTTTGATTTATGGAAAAGAAATAGTTTCGTATCAAGAAATTAAATCTGCACTGAAATCTAAGGAGCAGATAGACAGGAATATCATTGGGGAAAATAGAGAGAATCAGGATGAAGGTCTGGGTGTTAGGGGGAGAATGGATAAAAGAAAATTTGATAGTAGTAGATCTAAATCTAGATCTAAATCCAGACATAGAAATTTAGAATGCAGATATTGTCATAAAATGAGGCACATTAAGACTGATTGCTTTAAATTGAAAAATAAATTAAAGCAAAAGGAAAAATTTGTTGAGAAAACTATTGAATCCGCTGAAGCTAGTGTAGCAACTGATGAGAATGTTGGAAATATTTTCTCTGCTATTGATGACAGGACGAGATCTAAAAATAAATGGATTTTAGATTCTGGTTGTTCTTATCACATGTGTCCTAATAGATATTTGTTTTCCACATATGAATCTTGTAATGGTGGAATTGTTTTGATGGACAATAATGCAGCATGTGATGTTGTTGGTAGAGGAACAATCCGAATTAAAATGCATGATGGTATTGTGAAGACGCTCACTAATGTTAGACATGTTCCTGATTTAAAAAAAAATCTCATCTCTTTAGGCACCCTAGAGGCCCTTGGGTGTAAATACACAGCTGAATGTGGAGTTATGAAAGTTTCTAGAAGTGCTCTTGTTGTTATGAAAGCTTGTAGGTCTGGTAGCTTATATATTCTGCAGGGAACTACTATTATAGGCTCGATTGCAGTCTCATCATTATCATTGTCTGATTCTGACATCACCAAATTATGGTATATACGTTTGGGTCATATGAGCGAAAAAGGTTTGAGCATATTGAGCAAAAGGGGTCTACTTTGTGGACAAAGTATTGGGCCACTAGATTTTTGTGAACACTGCATTTTTGGAAAGCAGAAAAGAGTCAGCTTCAATTCTCCGACAGTTCACAAAACGAAAGGTACTCTTGACTATATTCATTCAGACCTTTGGGGTCTAGCTCATGTTCAGTCTAAGGGTGGTGCCAGGCATATGTTGACTTTCATTGATGATTATTCCAGGAAAGTTTGGGTTTATTTTTTGAAGCATAAAAATGATATTTTTCTAACCTTTAAACAATGGAAGGCTTTGATTGAGAAGCAAACAGGTAAACAGATTAAGCGGCTTCGAACAGATAATGGCATAGAATTTTGTGAAGGTGACTTTGATGAATTCTACAAAAATGAAGGAATCGTTCGGCATCACACTATTAGGATGATGCCTCAACAAAATGGGGTGGCCGAACGTATGAACAAAACACTCTTTGAGAGAGCAAGGTGTATGATCTCAAATGCAGGGTTGACAAAGGGCTTTTGGGCAGAGGCAATTAATATGGCCTGTTACGTTGTCAACCGCGCTCCTTCTGCAGCACTTAACTTTAAAACTCCGGAGGAAGTTTGGTCAGGTACTCCTGCTGATTACTCTGATTTAAAAATTTTTGGGTGTCCAACATACATGCATGTAAATGAAGAAAAATTAGAGCCTCGAGCTAAAAAGTGCATTTTCCTTGGGTATGCTTCTGGAGTGAAAGGATACAGATTATGGTGTTCTGATCACAAATCCCCAAAATTTATAATCAGTAGAGATGTTACTTTTAACGAATTGTCTATGTTATCTTCTAAAGAAGAATCTATTAGTTGTACAAATGATAGTGCGCAGAAGCAGGTGGAGCTTAAGATTGGTAGTTCAGATTCTTTTTAGTTTAACTCTTCTACTC